CAATGGCAGGTAAACTGAAAAAAACTTAGAGCCAAAGATTTTTTTACTGGCTATAAAACAGCATCATGCAGTATTTGAATAAAAATAATTTAGCTAGAATTTAAACCTCTATTTAAACTTGAAGAACCACTGAGGTTACACTCATTTATATTGATTGACTGTTGTCTTTGTCTTCATGTTTTCTTGTTTGGTGGCTTAACACTGGGAATGTGTCGCTACATCTCTGTAGGGCAGATGTTTCTTAGGACAAAAACACACACAGACATTGTGTAGAAAGAGTCAAATAGTAGAAAGCTGCTTTAATTTAATTTGCTATCTTTTTTTCCACCAAACCCAAAATGTTTCCCGATTTGGTGCCTGGTTGGTGTTTATTTTGGACCCTGGTAATGAGTCCTGATTATTTAGAGAAAATTACCCAAATTTAGTAACATTGCATTAGAATTATTTTTTTTTTGCCTTTTTAGTCGATGTTTGGGGAAGTTGCCCGTATTAGGGAGAGGTGTACATATACATACCGTATACACTATGAAGAAACCTCTTTTAAAGCTTGGTTTGCTGTCTCCCAAATTCCAATTTCTTCCATTTTACTTCATTGTATTCATGTTAATCTTTTGAGTCCTACGTGTGTATTCTGTACATCTTGTGTGCACTTGCTAAAACAGTTCTGTTAATTGACCCGCAGCGGTCATCGGATGGTTCGCTGAGTCAGGAGGAGGAGTCAGGGCCTGTGTTCGGGAAGGTCGGTGAGCTCCAGGAGGTGGTGGACCGTCAGACGGCTGATCTGGGCCAGATGAAGGAGCGCATGGCTGCTATGGTCTCACGCATCAATGAGCTAGAGGAAGACCTGGACACGGCCCGAAAGGACCTCATCAAGTCCGAAGACATGAACACGCGGCTACAGAGAGACCTGAGAGAGGTAGTGAGGGATGGGGACTATTGGCAACCCTAACCCTGATTTTAAATACATTCCTTTAAATGTTATATGGCCCTGTTAGCTTCATTCAACTGATGAAATCACGATACTTGCATATATAAGATAAGACACTTATGCATATAATGTCGTTTATGTACAGTGCACTGCAGAACAGTAGGTCACAAAGGCTGAGGACACTAATGCTAAACACTAATGTTTGTTTAGTCAATGGCTCAGAAGGAAGACATGGAGGAGAGGATCACCACCTTGGAGAAGCGCTACCTGGCAGCTCAGCGGGAGGCTACCTCCGTCCACGACCTGAACGACAAGCTGGAGAATGAAGTGGCCAACAAGGATTCCCTCTTCAGACAAGTAGGCCCAAAGCTCTTTGATTAAACGTTTTCCAAAATGACTTAGTGAAAATGAAAATTAGTTACTGACAGGGGCGGAGCTAGAGGGGTG